CCGTCGAACTAAACGCGCGATGGTAGAAAATAGTCCCACGCACAACTGTAGGCTCGAGACGCGAGTGGAGCCGCCCACGCGTGTACCACCCCACTAACCTCGAAGAAAAGTAAGAGACTGCTGACAGTCTGTATCTTTTGTGTCTGTGGACGATATTCCATGGGTTTGATTTAGTTAAACCTCTTTGGCAGTTCTTTCACTTGGTCCTTTTTCTTTTTCGCTATTTTGCAAAGTGAAATGTGTGAATTTTGATTTTCAGCACTGTTCATTCGAAGTGAAAGGGTTTCTAATTGTTCGGTTATCTCAAAGTCATTGTCAGCCTTGTAGGTTCTAAGGATCGTGCTTTTACATTAATAATATTCAGTTATGATTGCTACTCTGGTGAAATGTAACTGACTGCGCTGAGAAAAACGAAATCCAGTTGCTCCTTCTATTGGAAAACCCACAACTTTTCAGAGTACTAGTCAAACCTATTTGTTAGTCTTTCAGGTAACTCTGGTATTGAATTTTTTTAAAGTTACAATGTTAGGTTTTTTGTAGGAAATTTGTGCAATAAACAGAACATTGTTCGTTGGGATAGTTAGCAACTATTCGACGGTTTCTGTTTAATACGTGCTCCTATTTAGGAAATGATATGTATAAAGTTGTTTTATAGCCTGAGAAATCAGCCGACATTTTGAGACCCCCCACCACTGGTTTCCCCTCAAAATGACGTCTGAGAAACGAGCGCAAAAATTCTATACTAATGACGCGTCACTACCCAGGTGTGGGTAGTGCCCCTGATTGGTTAAAACAGATTTCCCTCTCGGCACGACCAATCAGAAACACTACCCAGATCTGGGTAGTGATACGTCATCATAGATCATCAGCGTTCGTCCCTCAGACGTTATTTCGCAAAGCCAGTGGTGGCGTCGCGAAATATTGGCTGTTCTTTCAGGTTAAGTTGTCATTTCATATAATTTTGTTTCGGCTCAAAAGGTTTTTTGGGCGTGTGAATAACCTATCTGTTGAGAAAGGGAAATCGGCCTTAGCAGAGAAAGGGTCACACGGTTCAAAAACACCCGTTGCTACGTCTATTTACAAGTCATCTTTAGTCGATGGAGCTAGAGGGCCAACAACGCAGAGGGGCCCATTTAGAAGACCTGTAATTATTAGGGAAGGTTTTGCAGAAATTATCTTTTGCATTCGTTTTCCTATGTGTGGTATGTAGTCATGCTTGGTTTGTATGGCCCGTCTGTTAAGAGAACAGCTTAATCATTTTAGCGATCACCATCAATTACCCTTGGTAGGGTTTAGCACTAACTGGTGGAACTTATATCGTAATCAAACAGTTCAAATTGAATTTATCAAGTTTGAAAATCCAAATAGGTAGGAGACGGAGCAGTTATTTATTGTTTATTTTATTTTACCTGAAAATGTGAACTCCTAATTGCAGTTTCCGAATTTAGAGCGGTTAAAGAACTGCTAAGTAATTTATAACTGGCATTTAAGAAATTTTTTTTCCATGGATCTTTAATAAGTTTTTCTATTCGAGCTTGTTGTGTATGGCGAGTGGTGGCGCTCGTCGTGAGTTTTGGTGATATGCAGTGTCCGAGCATTTTTTGCAGCTGAATAACTGATATTTTATCTTGCTAATAGAAGTAGCTAAAAAAGACGTTTATCCTGTACATTGCCAATGGGCTTTACTTTTGAAATGTAAATATACTGATATTCCTTGAAACAAAGTTTTGTTTGATTTTTTTAAGTGATCATTTCGATATAGCCATCTTCAGGAAACGAACCCCTCTCCTAGACGTCCTAGATAACCAGTGGTCCTTGCAGTGGTCCTTCCCTTGGACCACGTGACCCGAAACGAATTGGCCGCGCGGAATAATGAGGCCTAGGAACTAGGCAACATTAGTGCCGCTTTTCCGACGGGGATGGTACAGCGCTTGCTTTATTGTCCCTGAGCAACTTGAGTAACGATCTACTTGTTACTGCAAGTGTCTGTCTTTGCCTATACGTTACAAGCATGGACTCATGTGAAGGATGCAGTGCGCCATTTTTCCTATGACGCCAATAGCCCACGTTCGTTATGATATTTAAACTGACAGGTTCACGGTTCAGCGCATGCTCATTAATTAGACTACGTTTTTCCAATCTATTATTAATTCTATCGGTTAATAATCCCACTCACACGTATCTCAGCGATCTCAGAGTGTATTTCAAAGTATAAGTGTATTTCAGAGTAACGTGAAGTAGAATGTAGGAGTACTAAAATCGCAGAAAAATTAGTGGATTATGCCAACACTACCAACGTTGAATTTATCATAGACCCGAGGGTTTTATTCCATGGTTGATTAATTTACAGCTATTTCCACCTAAGTTGATCAAGTGACTGCCAGGGGAGTGTCCAGATTGGTTCTTTGACAACATTACGACATGATCATATTGCTTTCATAGGCGATACAGCATGTCGCGGCACAAAAATAGCATTTGATTAATGAGCATGCGCTGAACCGTGAACCTGTCCCTTTAAGATCTAACATGACTCCGAGACTTTCTGGTCATTTTTTCTATATTTGGTTTGGTTTTCTTTGTGCTCAAGTTTCCTCTGGGAATTGCGAGACACTGGAGTCGTGAAAAATTTGCAATTTTGACCCTAACGCCTCGGAGTCATGTTAGAATTTTAAATATATCGAACGTGGGCTAGGGCGGCCGGAAACGAAGTAGGTGTGGGTAGATTTCCGCGACTCACTGCGCGCATAAGTGAAAGACCTGCATGGCATATCAGTGAAAGGGGAGAAAAATAGGAACCACGTTGCAAACTTCACTGCTCTCTTCTTCCACGTCCATTGCTCGTCTCTGAAGGTCTCTGCAGACCTTGAATCATTTCTAAATAGAAGCGGGGAAGACACCCTATGAGGGATTAAAATATGGCCGTGGCCCTGTAACAGGGTGAACATATGCGGTTGAAGTGGGGTGTGTGAGGGGGGGGGGGGG